AGAAAGGGGGGAAACACATTATTTTTCATGGTTTTGAAAAAGAAATGATCCATTATTCCCACAAATCCTTAATACTATGTGCCAAGTCATTTTAATTTTTGTACTAAAATAAAAATCCTGCCTTCAATCAAGGTTGTCATCTCGTGAGGTGGGGGACAGGTATATTTATGTTTATATACATGAATGTTGAAACTTAGGTGAAAAAGAAAGGTTAGGGTGCTGTGTAGAGGATTGATAGTTTTAATTTAGATAGTGGGGAGGTGGCTTGGTACTCTGAGGCAGTAACATTTGAAGTGACACTGAAGTGAAGTGTTTGGTAGACTCTAGAAGATTTGGAGGGAATAGAGGATATTGAAGACAGAGGTTTAGATGGACACATGCAGAAATTGAAAGAAAGGTCAAGGGGCCAGAGTGATAGCACAGTGGAGAGGGCATTTGCCTTGCTTGTAGACAACCTGGGTTCAATCCTTGACATCCCATGTGGTCCCCTGAGCACCGCCAGGAGTCATTCCTGAATGGAGAGTCAGGATTCATTCCTGAGTGGAGAGCCAGGAGTAATCCCTGAGCATTGCCGGGTGTGACCCAAAAGCCAAAAAAAAAAAAAATCATAAAAAAAAAAGGTCGAAGTAACAGGGAGAGTAGTTAGAGAGGGCAGTTGGGGACAGAGTGTGGGAAGTAAGAATGAAGGGCCATGAGATTTTAATTTCGTTTTTCAAACAATGGGAAGCAGTGATTTGAAGCAACATGATTTGTGCTTTTAAAAAACCTCTTTGGGGGATAGGGTAGGTAGTCCAGTCAGAGATGCTCAGGGGACCCACCCTCATTGCTAGGGATGTTCTTGGGGGCTTCTCAGCCTGGATTGGCCTCATAACGCCCCCAGCACCAGCAGGCCAAGCTTTCAAATGTGACACCTGGTAGGTCAAAGTGTCTTGGCCAGGGAGGGGAAATGAGCACTGCTTGAGAGAACCTTGCAACAAATCTCTCTGAGAATAGGGTTTAAAGTCGATGATTTCTTGACACATGGCATATACATACATTGACATCTCACTCTCCAGTGCTCAGTGGATATCATGCAACTGACTCATAGATTTCCTTTCTCCCTCAAATGATCGTCAGCTCCCATTGATTCACTCATCCCCAACACTCAGACCAGAACTCATGACATCCAATACCTTGGTAGCATGCTGGATAGCCTCCAAACCAGGGTCAACTCTACTTGAAGTCTTCTTTCTCCTCAAATACTCTCTCCACAATCTCTATTCTAGTTCCTGTCAACCCTGTATTATAGTTGGGCCTCCAGGGACATGAAAATGAGAACTAATGGACAAGCTAGGGTGGGAAAGGTTGTTCTAAGGCTAAGGAACTTCAAGTGTGTCTTGTAAGAATAAGAAAGCAGAACTAATGTTTTGTAGAATAATTTTTTTTTAAAAACCATGATTTACAGTCATTGATAGTTGTATTTTAGACATACAATATTTCAACACCAATCCCACCACCAGTCAACTTCCCTCCTCCAGTACTCTCATACTTTGTCCCCGCCTCCCCACCTACCACCCTGACAGGCACATTACAAAGCTCCATGGTTGCATCTTAGATCTCAAGTTTTTAGTGTGTTGAGTCTGTGCTTTGGATATATGGCTATACTATTCTCCCACACCACCTGTATAACCAAAGCTCCGACTCCTCTTCCCACATTACTTCCCTTTCTCATCATCTTCCTTTTCCTCTTGGTTTCATTCCTTCTCTGTCCTCCTCCTCTCTAAGTCCTGGGGTCAAGGGTGATCTAGGAATCCCCCACCCCTTACTACATTATATTTCCACATCCAGTTATTCTGTATGCCACAGATAAGTGAGATCATTCTGTGTTTATGAAAGCAGCACTACTTTTATAGTTTTCCCAAATGCACTCAGGCAGGTGCTGTTCCCTGGACTTGATATGCTGCCTCCTCTCGGGATCCCTTTCACTCTATTCAATCTCCTGGGATGGGATATGGGCCACTCTGGGAGGCAAGAATCACCCCTGATTCTGTACTCAGGGATCACTCCTAGCAATGCTGGGATCAATTCAGGGTCATCCCAGTGTCAGGCAAGTGCTTTGATCTCTGCATCATCTCTCTCAGTGGTGCTCTGAGCTTCTTTCTGACTCTCTGCATAGAGGTCACTCCTGACAGTTTGAGGGACCAGATGCAGTGCTGGGGGTGAGACCCAGGTTGACCACATGCAGGACACTTTCCCTACCACCTATGCTAACTCTCCAGTTCAACACATTATTTTTTTTAGTATTTTTTATATTATTAGTGAGACACCATGAGGTACAGTTGTAGATTTACAAATTTTGTGCTTGGGTTTCAATTATACAATGACCAAATACCCATCCCTCCACCAGTGACCATTTCCCACCACCATGGATCCCAGTATCCCTCCCAGCCCCTACCCCCTATCCCACTCTACCTCTGTGACAGGGCATTCCCTTTTGTTCTCTCTCTCCTTTTGGGTGTTGTGGTTTGCAAAAAGAGGCATTGAGTGTTGATCATGTTTGGTCTATAGTCTACTTTCAGCATGCTTCTCCCATCCTGGGAGGATCCTCCCAACACCCTTAATTTGGTGCTCCCTTCTCTATCTGAGCTGCCTTTTCCCCTAGCATGTGTGGCTGGCCTCCAAGCCATGGAGTAAGATTCCTGGTACTAATCTTGGCCATTCTTGGATGTTAGTCTCCTATTTTGTTACTTTATGTTCCCCAGATCAACACATTATTTTTTAATTGCATAGCACCACCTTGAAATTTACCCAGGTAAGATGCAAATCAAAACAACAATGAGATATCTCACACCACAGAGACTGGCACACATCAAGGAAAAGAACAACCAATGCTGGTGCAGATGTGGGGAGAAAGGGACTTGTTGGTGGGAATGCTGACTGGTTCAGCCTTTTTGGAAAACAAATGGGCATTCCTTCAAAAACTAGAAATTGAGATTCCATATGACCCAGCAATATCAGTTGTGGGAATATATCCCACGGTGCAAAAACGTTACTAGGCCTGCTCGAGAAATCAATGAACAATGGGAGGACAGTGACAGTGACAGTTGGAAGTAATACCTTATTGTAATTTTGATTTTCATTTCCTTGATAGTCAGTGGTAGGGAACAATTTTTCATATGCCTATTGGCCATCTTTAAGTCATGTTTGAGGAATTTTCTGTTCATCTCCATTTTTTTTTAAATCATTTTTGTGTCTTACCTGGCAATGCTCAGGGCTTACTCCTGGCTCTGCACTCAGGTATTATTCCTGGAGATGCTCAGGGGAGCATATGGGAGGCTGGGGATTGAACCTGGCTTGGCCATGTGCAAGGCAAATGTCTTACCCACTGGATCACTCCGACCCTCCTCTCCCCCTTTTTTTGATGAGGTTGTTTGTTGTTGTTGTGGAACTTTGAGTGTTATTTTTATATCTTGGATACTGACCCTCTGATGTGTGGTATTCAAATATTTTTCTCAGTGGGGAATATTTTAGGCCTTATTTATCTTATAGTACTAAAACTTTTTAGCTTGATATAGTCCTTTAGGTTTTTTTTTTTTTTGGTCTATGAGATTGTGTCATTGAAGACTCTTCTGAGGTCAAGGTCTTAGAGAATGTGCCTGTGTTTTTCTCAATGTATTTTATGAAAGTATTTTCAATTTCAAGGTCTTTATTACATTTTGAATGGATCTTTGTGAAAAGGTGAACTGGGATCTAATTTTTCTTTTTGCATGTGGTTATTCAGTTTTACCAACACCAGTTATTGAAGTGGTTCTCCTTCACCAGAAACTCAGGCACTTAGCTCTTTTGTCATAAATTAACTAATATAAGATTTATCTCTGGGCTCTTATTTCTATTCCATTGATCTTAAAGTGTGTGTTTGTACCAGAAGCATGCACTATAATTACTATAGTTTTGTAGTCATGATTAAGTCTGGAATGCAATGCCTCCCATCTTCTTTTTTCTTAGAACTGTTTTGACTGTTCAGTAGTTTTATGGTTCCATGCATATTTTATAAGTATTTGTTCTATGTCACTGAAAATTGCCATGGGGATTTTGATGGGAATTGCATTGCATCTGTAAAATTACTTTGGGTAAGATGGTCTTCATAGATGCAGAGAAAGCATTGACAATACCCAAATCTTGTTTATGCTAAAAATATCCTTAGCAAAATGAGGGTCGAAGGCACTTGTCTCCAAATTATAGAAGCTATATATGTATATATATATGTTGGAGGCAAGATGGCGCTGACGCTGGTCAAACCCCTCTTGCTCTCCCGAATCCGGCTCACCATCTCACTCTGGATGATGCGCGACTCAGCACACCAGGCATGGAATTGCCCGTGTGATCCCTGCTGGAACTCTGTGTGTGATTCCCACTGGACATCACCGGCTGATTTGTGGGATTAAAGACAGAATGGCATCAACAGGGCGTGGAAAAACCGCAGCCGGGGCTGCAGCATCACCACCTCCCCCCACTGGGCTGAATTACAACACCATTGAGTGTGGAACAGTGACAGTAGTGCACGCAATGGCTTATCCACTGCAGGACGCAGTCCACCAACCATTGACTGACTTGGGACTCAGCATAGGTGTTCCACTTGGCATAGACTCTATACAACGACATCTGGGTGCACTCCAGCCACCTCAAGGAGATCAACCTGAGGCTGCAGATGCCCCAGGCACTGCTCGGAGATGCAGGCAGGTGTGTGTTGTCAGCATGCAAATTGTTACAGCAGGCCAGTCACCAAGAGCTTACATTCAGTAGACTGGGAACACCTGCAGGGATGGTTAGAGATCACCCAAAACCTCCACTCCCACTCTGAGAGAGCCCAGCAAGCTACTGAGGGAATCCCACCCACATAGTAGAGCCTGGCAAGCTACCTGTGATGTACTAAATATGCCAACAACGGTAGCAAAAATGGAGTCTCCAGCTGAGTTGGGAAGAATTAGAGGGCTTGTACTAAGCAGACGGTGTGCAAGTAAATGGGCAGGAAGGCGCCCCACAAGCAACTGGTGGCCACCAAGGCGGCCCGCAAGAGCGCACCAGCCATGGGCGGCGTGGCCAACAATGTGGCGCTGCACAAGATCCGTCTCTACCAGAAGTCCACTAAGCTGCTCATCTACAAGCTGCCGTTCCAGCAGCTGGTGCACAATATCCCGCAGGACTTCAAGACCAACCTGTGCTCCCAGAGCTCGACTGGCATGGTGCTGCAGGAGGTGTGGTAGACCTACCTGGTGGTGCTTTTCAAAGACACCAACCTCTGTGCCATCCATGCCAAGCATGTCACCATTATGCCCAAGGACATCCAGCTGGTGTGCCGCATCCGCAGAGAAAGGGCATAAAGTTTATGATGCTAAAATCTCAGGGCTCCCTTTCTGCTGCCCAAAATGAGCTGGTCTCTTCTCCCCACTCCCCCAGGTCAGTTTTCTCGCCGTCTCTCAAACCCGGGACTTGGATTTCACCGCGCAAGCCCCGAGGCATCCCCCGGACACCGGGAGACAAAGCAGATCTGAGCCCCTCTGCCTCTCCCTTTCCGCCGCCCAAGCCGAGCTGGTCTCTTCTTCCCACCCAGTCTTTACTCCCCGGACACACACCAGGTATCCGTGGGGGTGTGGCCACTTTAGAAGTGGGCGTGGCTTTTTAAAAAGTGGGCGTGTCCTGGTTTTCAGCGGGCCAGGGCTTACGCAGCCGCAGGTAGTTTACTCAAATCAAGAAATCTGACCCCTACACCTGCACAACAACATGAAGAAACAACGCAAATCCCGCCACAGGGAGACGACGAGGAAACAAGTCCAGAAGCCTCAGTAGGTGCTAGCCACCTTAGGGACCTCTCTGACAAGTAATTCAGATATGAAGTCATTAAGATGTTCAACCAACTCAATGAAACAGTCAGACAGATATCCGCTAAATTGAAAGAGGACATGAAAGAAACAATTGATTGCACAATCGACAAAATACAGCAAGAAATGAGAGCAGAAATTGGAAAGCTTCACACAGAAATGGCACCGATCAGAGATTCCATAGATGAAATAAAAAACTCAGTCTGTGCCCTCAAAAATAGAATAACCACAGCTGAGGAAAGAATTAATGATCTGGAAGATCAGCTCACCAAGCCAACATGCAACAACAAACAATGGCAAAGAACCTCAAAATAGCTCTACAGAGAATCAGAGTCCTAGGAGTTGATTCCAAAAGAAAGAACATTAGAATCATTGGACTACCAGAAGCTCATGGAAACAATCCCAATGAAAAAACCATGTTTAAACAAATCATCGCCAAGAAAGTCCCAGAACTCCACAATAGTCATTCAGATTCAAGAAGCCCGAAGGGTGCCAGCTAAAAGAGACCCTAACAGAAACACTCCAAGATATATTATAGTTAGAATGATCAATGCTGCCGATAGAGACACAATACTGCAAGCAGCAAGGGCAAAAAAGGAAATCACTACAAAGGAGCACCCCTGAGATTCACAGCAGACCTATCAGAGGAAACCCTACAAGCCCGAAGGCAGTGGCGAGATATAGTGAAAAAACTCACTGAAATGAATGCTTCACCAAGAATACTCTATCCGGCTAAACTCTCACTCAAAATTGAAGGAAAGGTACACTATTTTCTAGATAAACAGCAGCTCAGGAACTTCATAGACGCAAAACCAAACCTAAAACAAGGGCTAAAGGGGCTACTATAAGACAAGACAAACCCTACAAAAACAACACACCCACACAGAAACATGACACAAAACCCCATAACCATACTCTCTCTCAATGTCAACGGTCTAAATTCACCATTTAAGAGACACAGAGTGGCAAAATGGATACAGAGACAGAACCCAACATTCTGCAGCCTACAAGAAACTCATCTCAACACTCAGAGCAAACACAGACTCAAAGTCAAAGGATGGAAAACAATCCTGCAAGCAAACAGCTCCTGCAAAAAAGCTGGTGTGACCATATTAGTATCTGACAACATTAATTTCACCTTGAAAAAGACTAGAGGGAACAGTGAAGGCTATTTTCTCTTCATCAAGGGATACGTACAACAGGAAGAAATCACACTCTTAAATGTATACGCACCTAATGAGGGAACAGCTAAATATTTAAAACAACTGCTAACAGATTTTAAGGAGGACATTGCAAGCAACACAATAGTACTTGGAGACTTCAACATCACCCTATCACCTCTGGACAGATCAACAAGAACAAAACCCAGCAAGGAATCATTGGCTTTGAAAGAAGAAATAGAAGAGAGAGGGCTTATAGACCTATACAAGGCTTTACACCCCAAAAAGAAAGAATACACATTCTTTTCCAGTGCACATGGAACATTTTCCAAAATAGACCATGTGCTAGGACACAAAACATACCTCAACAAAATCAGGAAGATAGAAATAGTATCAGCCATCTTTTCAGACCATGATGCACTGAGGATAGAAGTGAATCGCACACAGACACGGAGAACCAAATCAAACACCTAGAAATTAAACAACTTTATGCTGAACAATGAGTGGGTCAGGAACGAAGTCAAGGACGAAATCAAAAGATACCTGGAAACAAATGAGAATGAAGACACGAGCTACCAGAACCTATGGGATGCAGTGAAAGCCGTATTAAGGGGAAAATTTATAGCTCTGCAAGCATATCTTAGGTCTGTAGAAATGGTGCACATAAACAACTTGACCTCACAGCTCAAGACCTTAGAAAAGGATCAACAGAAAGAGCCTAAATCAGGCAGAAGGAAAGAGATCATAAAACTTAGAGCAGAAATCAATGTCATGGAACCTAAAGAAACAATCGAAAGATCAATGAAACCAAGAGCTGGTTCTTCGAGAAAATAAACAACATAGATAAACCACTAGCAACACTCACAAAGAAACACAGAGAGAGAACCCTAATAAACTGAATCAGAAATGAGAAGGGGGATATCAAAACAGAAACCAAAAAAATCCAAAAGATCATCAGAGACTACTTTGAAAGTCTGTATACCACGAAACAAGAGAACCTAGAAGAAATGGTTAAATTCCTGGACTCCTATAATCTCCCAAAGCTGAATCAAGAAGATCTGGAGTATCTGAATAGACCTATTAACATCAACGAATTAGTAACTGTATTCAAAAGTCTTCCCAAAAACAAAATCCCAGGTCCAGATGGATTCACTAGCGAATTTTTCCAAATATTTAAAGAGGACCTACTGCCAGTCCTTCTCAAGCTTTTCCAGGAAATTGAAAAAACGGAAACTCTCCCAAACAGTTTATATGAAGCCCATATCTCTCTAATACCAAAAGGAAACAAAGACACCACGAGAAAAGAAAACTACAGGACGCTATCCCTGATGAACACAGATGCAAAGATTCTCAACAAAATACTAGCAAATAGAATTCAACTACTCATCAAAAAGATCATACACCATGACCAAGTAGGATTCATCCCGGGGATGCAAGGCTGGTTTAACACTCGGAAATCAATCAACATAATCCACCATATCAACAAAAGAAAAGATAAAAATCATATGATCATATCAATAGATGCAGAGAAAGCATTTGACAAGATCCAGCACCCATTTATGATGAAAACCCTAGCCAAAATGGGGATAGAGGGCACTTTCCTCAATATAGTTAAAGCCATCTACCACAAGCCTACAGCAAGCATCATCCTCAATGGCGAAAAACTGAGAGCCTTCCCTCTAAGATCAGGGATGAGACAAGGATGTCCACTCTCTCCACTGCTGTTCAATATAGTACTGGAAGTACTTGCAAGAGCAATTAGGCAAGAAAAAGATATTAGGGGCATCCAGGCAGGAAAGGAAGAAATCAAGCTCTCACTATTCGCAGATGTTATGATACTATACTTAGAGATTCCTAAAACCTCTACCAAGAAACTTCTAGAAACAATAGGCTTCTATAGTAAAGTTGCGGGCTATAAAATCAGTACCCAAAAGTCCATGGCTTTCCTATACGCAAATAGTGAAAGAGAAGAAAGTGTCATGAAGAAAACAATTCCGTTTACAATTGTGCCCCAGAAAATCAAGGACCTAGGAATCACCTTAACTAATGAAGTAAAGGACCTGTACAAAGAAAACTACAAAACACTACTTCAAGAAATAAAAGAGGATACAAGGAAATGGAAAAATATCCCCTGCTCATGGATCAGGAGAATTAACATTGTCAAAATGGCAATACTTCCCAAAGCACTGTATAAATTCAACCTAATCCCTATTAGGATACCCATGACATTCTTCAAAGAAGTGGAGCAAACAGTCCTGAAATTTATATGGAACAATAAAACCCCATAAATAGCTAAAGCAATTCTTGGGAAAAAGAAAATGGGAGGAATCAACCTCCCTAACTTCAAACTCTACTTCAAGACAGTAATAATTAAAACAGCATGGTACTGGAACAAAGGCAGAGTTGTAGACCAATGGAACAGGGTCGAATATACTGACATCTCCCCCAAAGCATACGAGCATCTAATCTTCGATAAGGGGGCAAGAAAAGTGAAGTGGAGCAGGGAAAGCCTCTTTAACAAATTATGCTGGAAAAACTGGACGGCTACATGCAAAGAAATGGGCTCAGGTCTCTGCCTAACTCCATGTACAAAAGTAAATTCTAAGTGGATTAAAGACTTCAACATCAGACCAGAATCTATAAGGTACATTGAGGAAAAGGTTGGCAAAACCCTCCATGACATAGAAGCTAATGGTGTCTTCAAAGATGTCACATCGCTGGCCAAGCAAGTGGAAACAGAAATAGACAAATGGGACTATCTTAAACTAAGAAGCTTCTGCACCTCAAAAGAAACAGTGACCAAAATACAAAGACAGTCTACAGAATGGGAAAGGATATTTGCCAAATACACATCTGATAAGGGGTTAATTTCAAGGATATACAAAGTACTGGTTGAACTCCACAAAAAGAAAACATTCAACCCCATCAAAAAATGGGGAGATGAAATTAATAGAAACTTTCACAAAGAAGAAAAGCGAATGGCTAAAAGGCACATGAGAAAATGCTCCACATCATTAATCATCAGGGAGATGCAGATCAAAACCACAATGAGATATCACTTCACACCACAGAAACTGGCCCATATCCACAAGAACAAAAGCAATGGGTGATGGCGCGGATGTGGTGAGAAAGGGACACTACTACACTGCTGGTGGGAATGCCGACTAGTTCAGCCCTTTTGGAAAACAGTATGGACGATTCTCAAAAAATTAGAAATTGAGCTCC